AGAGTGGTTGCAGGGCAGATTCGGTCAGATAGTCAATGTCCGCGACATGCTCTATGAAAGCAATTTTTTCGCGCTTGGTAAGGGGTGAATTAACATTTGTGAGCCAGATGCTAGCCAGCTTCGAGACACAAAGCAGTAGCTCTATGGAAGGACTACGATCCAAACATACAAACACTAGCACAACAAGCTCACGCCGAATCCCAACTATGATGTTGTCCGTGACCGCCTGAGCTAGAAGCAAGATGCAGGTACACAACGCAGTAATTGCGCTACCCCCCTGAACAGTTTCACCTTGAACTTGCTCGGTTTCACTAAGGCTGAGCCTCGATTTGATAGCGCGTGCAAGTACCGACATTACGGGGGTAGCGTAGCAGGTGGGCGGTTCCAACGCACCACATTTTTGTATTGAGTTTAAGTGGTGTCGCAAGAAAATTTGGGCTAATTTTAAAAGGCTGTATCCATGATTTAAAATATAGGAGGGCGTATGCCTGCAGATAGAAGCTATCACTTTGACCAGAGGCATAGCATTGGGAGCCTTGTGAAAATAGCTCGCATTAGCTCCCTGCCTGGATGATGAACAACAAATATCCACCACCGCAGTGAGGCGGGATTCAACAACACACTTGATTTGATGATAGAAGAACATTATGGTAGAACTGGAGTGCCCCGGTGGATATAATTCCGCTATTCTAGCAACCACCTCACGGAGCTTTGATTGTATTTCGATATTTGGCATGTCAAAGCATGGACATATAAGCTGCTGTGCTTTTACCAGATTGTCGATGAAAAAGGTATTCGGTTGCGAACCAACACCAAGCGTGATGTGAATGACATCCAAGCATGTTGCCAGGAGGGTTGGCGAATATGGTGAGTCATTAGCACCAAGGTCTAAGCGAGTATTGGACGTTGCAATCAGTTTTTCGAAGTAGGAAAAACGAATGTGCACATTGGGCCAAGCTTCTATAGTTGTTTTGAACAAGAAAAGGCATCTTGGTGCTAAGCGTTGCACGGCTGGCTCCTTGTTGTCTGATGCGAAGAGGGCCAGCCGAACAAGAAAGTTCGCAACCATCTCAATCATAGTCATGGTTAGATGAAATTCGTCTTCTGATAGTGCCGGTACCGGACGGGTTGAATGACCAGGGGAAACAGGCTTTTTTTCAGGCAGCAGCTGTGAACCAACTGTGCTGGGGGCGTTGCGTGGCTTGCTATCGTCTAGCCGCTGAGACTCCCAGTTCAATATTAGATCAGCAAGTGCGACTGCAAGTTGCCTGTTTTCGACGGGACAGTTTGGGGGTAGTCCTAAACGATTCAACGAATTCACCATCTGCGGCATGAACTGCGAGCGATATGGATAGAATAATGTTGGGTGGCGTACCACTAGCTGCCACATGTGGACCAGTTGAGCGAGCGCGTGTCCTTCTTCGTACATTATCTTTTTGGTCCATTTGATGGCTTTGATGAAGTCGGCCATCGGCAAGCGTTTTGGTAAGGCAGGTATAAGGATGTCTAGAGCAACCTTGACTAGTTCACGTGCCTCGGGCTGGAATGTTCGCAAAAGTGCAACGTAGACCTACGCGATTGACATATGATTATGAGTTCATAGACTTACCCAGTGATATACCTGTAATATGATCTTTGGGGGTGTTTCGTATGTTGCAACAAACCGACAAACGTTGACGTAGGCCCATTGCTTCGAAAGCGAGTCGTCAGACTTGAGATGATTCCAAGCGAATTTGATCAAGTCCTTGCGATGTTCGACGAGCTCTTGTCCAAGGTGTTCAATCAAAACGGTGGTCAACTTTAACAGCTCCACACGAAGAGCTTCACTGTAATGTCGTGTTTGTCGATTAGCAGTGTCAAGCGCAGAACGCATAAATAGTGCCAACATATCTGAATCCACGACACGCGTGCTTTCCAGTCCCGCTTCCATTATAGTCTGCGGGGTGTCAAGCTTCCGGGCACCTGTAAATGTTGTAATAAGCATGGGTGTAACAACCAGACGTAAGGCTACGACTTTTAAGTCCATCGCAACGTGATAATCAACAAGAGCACGCAGAAACAATAGCATTAATTTTTGTTTGTTGCGAGGTTCCCAGATCACGGCTACCTCCTCACGATAGAAATCTTTCAAGAAGGTGAAGTCCACTGGGCTTTGCATCATGAAGACAGAAAGCATGTCGAATAACACATGTACATCCTCTTGATATGAGCGGCAGTAGCCTATCATGCCCTGAATCATCAAAAAAGTTTCTTTGTGACAGCGTAAGATTAGTTCGTCTTGCATTTGAGAAGTTAGTTCTGAATTGGTGGCGCGCTCATCCGCTCTCAACATGTGTGCACGCCAGAGCATGATAATACAATGTCCTGCAAGCTTATGGCGGCTGAAGAGGTGGATATCTAGATGATACAAAGCCATAATAAGCTTCAGCCCATAGAACTGCGCTTCTTTTGACTTTGACTTGGCCATCTGATCGTGAGCTGTATCAGCGTTAAGAATACTTGCGGGCAAGCGCTGATCGACCTCCACGGAGCTTTCTCTAACTGAAACTGAAGAATCTACTGGCCGAACGTGCACTGAAGTGAGGCCCACGGGTTGATCCTTCTTTTCAACTCTTTCCTCAAAACTAAGCCTCGGTAAGGAAGAACCATCTGCGAACGAGCTCCGATTAGCTAGCTTTGCTGCAGGTCGAGAATTTAATGCTTCCAGGTCAGGTATCAGCTGATGTTTGTCTTGCCAAGTAAACAGAATTGCAGGATGTGAGTGTTTCATGCGCTCGTGTACACGAGACCTTTGCGTGATGGAACTGATAGGTCTTCGGAATGCTGCATTCAACAGAAGTTCAATCCCATCAGAGCTCATCACGCGCATGCGAAGTTCAGCTGCTTCTCGGACAGAGACAACAAAGCTCAATAGAGAAATGTGTTCGGGATTGACTATGTTGGTAAGGTTGAAGAAATAATGAGTTGCCGCCGTTGCGTGACACGATAGGAATTGAGCCAAAGCAAATCTGAAGGGTGATGGTCCAAGCCTGATTAGGCCGAAGTTGGCAGCAGAGAGAGGAGATAATAGGTGCATTGTGTTAACTGGAGTTTTGATTCCCTGAACGTCTTGATCAAAATACTTCGATAAGACTGCCTCTAGCTGAAGCACAGTGCAAACGACTGACTTGAGGAAAGTTGATACGCATTCAGTGCTCTCGTGACCGCAAGTAAGGAGTCTTGAAATAAGGTGCAGCAGTTTTGCTGCGAGCTCCAAGGGTGGGTTGGCTATCCAGGAGCGCATTCCCTTGAGCCCGTCCGGGTTACAAAACTCTTGAAGGTGATTCAATAGACACCGAGCAATTTCAAGGGACTGAATTTCGTCAAGTACTGGTAGCGAGATCATTCGTTCGAAGCTGCTCAAGAACTGTAGAGTGGCACTACCTTGATTCACGGCATCAAGCGATTGGCGCACGTATGCACTACAAGCGTTCATTAGAGGAAGTTGTCTCAGTGCTAGGACTTCACAAAGCAAGGAGGTGGACGTGAGATTCAAGATATAGGCATCGTCAATTCTAGCTGACTCTAGTGCCAAATCCAAAGTTTTGCGCAAATGGTTTAACGGTAGAGAGCTTAATAGCACTTCGTTGAATTTGGCACGTGCGTGTTCACTGGGCACTTTACTCACTGCAGTCATCGCAACCGACTTGGCAGCTCGAATTGAGGCATGCAGAGCCCTCAGGGCCATTGCACGCAGATAATCGGTCCGGCTACAGGCTGATGATTTCCCGAGGCACAGTATGGAATGATTTAGCACGAAAGAAAACGTAGCCGACTTCGACATCCACCCGAGGTAACAATTTGGCTGTAGAGACCAGAGAGCATAATGAGCTGGAAGACAGTGGCGTTCTTTTTCGAGTATGTTCAGTAAATTGCTATGTAGTCCTGGATTTGGTAAAATTGCTGGGGGGTGTAAAGATAACATGAAACTCAAGGCATCAAGGGCTCCTATGGTACAGTCAATTGGGGCACTCAAACCCAGGTGACATTTAGCAAGGATATGCGCTGAACTAGCAGCTATTGGCTTCAGTATTTGCGATGAAAGCTCGGGCAATTTAGCTTGCCTGTTCAGCTCAATAAGACCACTTTGAGCGCCTAGACGGGCAGCAGCCGCTTTGTTTGATAGTTCACGTACAAACACGTTCACCAGGCGTGTTTCATCCATCGTGTTGTGCGAAATTTGTAAGAGCGCATGCAGAGTTTGAATGATACCACCATGGGTGAGAAGGGTGATGTCGGCTTCGTCATCGAGAGCACTTATAAGGGCAGCAGCTAGTACGTCTTTATTTGGACGTGCCCAAGCATGACCAAATGTTGCAAGTAGTTCATATAATGTTTGGCAAACACTTCTACGAGACTTAATTTCCCATTCAGATAGCGACAGACATATTCTTGTGATGAGATCAGTGATTAGAATCGATCTCGGTGCTGGTAACGATCGCAGCTCAAGTGAATAAATGCACCCTAGGTGAAACTTCAGGGATCCTAGTGCGGTACTTGCAACCAAAGAACAACTATCTGTTATAGCTTCAAGTAGAGTTGAGGTGAACGAATGGATGGACAATTTCCCATCTCCAGGTGCTTGGAAGTGCTTTTTGCCGTGTGCATGCTGGAGTTTGACCTTACCTAGCTGCTCCTCGCAGTCCTGATTTCTACGCGAGAGAAACTCGGTGGAAGATGTAGGGGTATAGTGAGTGAGCATGGCAAACAAAAAAGCGAAGGCTCGGAGCAAGGGAGTCGCCTCTGCTTCTAGCATTCGGTGAGCTGCCGCGCAGACGACTGAGTACAGCAGTTGGCACAGTCGGATGTTCGCAAAATCACACACTCGTGCCTCCATCACTTTGCAGTTGTAGAAATCTACTTGTTGTTTTCTCTGCGGCTTATTGCACTCGTACTTGGGTATTTTTGCTTCTGCTGGAAGGTCAAACAAGGAGCATAGACCGCTCGCAAGTAGACGGAAGCACATTTTTTGATAGCGAAGCAAAAGAGGTGGATAACTTTGGAAAGAGCTTTGCACGGAATTATGTTCCAGGAAATTCAGCCTGACGAGCGAGTTAAAAAGCTCGCATGCATCGGTCAGGTAATTATCAATATCTAGTGCAAACCAACTACCAACCGAGTACGCATCTTGAATATTTACTGAATGCGTAGAGCAGGGGACTGCGCGCCATTTCATCAAGAGTCTCAAGGATGAAATTGGTGAGAATATTGCAAGGTTATGTTTGACATGATTCGTCTTAGAATTATGCGTTAAGCTGGCATTTGTCTCGATATGAACTTCGCGGCGTTGTGACAAATCGGGCAGTGAATCACCAATCAATGCAAGGAAGTGTCGATTTCGCCCGCCAAGCTTGCCTAGTATGCGAAGAGCGATGGTACCAAGTGTGTATGGGGCCGGCTTGAGATGACTACAAACACCGATGAGCATCATATACTGCAATCGAGGCTGCCCTGCCAGCAGGGAGCATGTGCGTGATGATCCCAAATGGTCGAGAAAGTACTCGAGCGTCCTAAGTGCCAGTGACGGAAGGTCGCCAGATATTGCCTGCAGGGCTTCTACCAATAAAGGTAGAAGGCGTGGAATAAATGGTACTTGAGCAGCGAGAGACATTGGCACAGTCATACAAAGTTCTGTAAGAATGAAATGGGCCGTAGACGCTCCCTTAGTACGGAGACGTAGCTGAAATAGAACTTTTAAAATGGATGGAGCAATATCACCCAACTCCGAGTGCACGCCTCTTGAAGAAACGCAGCTGGAAACAGATCTAAAGATTGAACGTAGAAGGAAAAAATAAGCAATGGGATTATTTGTGGCAGCAGCATGCTGCAAACATGCGATGATCAGTTTACGTAATTGGCCACGGAGCACCACCTCATTCTTAGGGAAGAGCGCCACAGAGCCAAGGATGATCCGAAGCAGGCGTAAGAGCGTTGATGCTCCAAAACAGGGAGCGATTTTGGTAGTTGACGTGGGATATGTTCCGTTATCGAAGATTTTGGAGGGCACTAGTCGAGGCGAAGGATTCTCATGCGGAAATTGAAAACTAGAGAGATTGCTGAGTTTCCTCACTAAGAAACCGACAAGAATGTCAGCGAATGTGGCAGATACATTTGAATTGGCAAGGAGCGTCTGTGCGATAGCCAGGAGTGCTGATGATCCAAGCATGGCATCAAAGAGCATGGGAATGTGTTGACCCACTGTCGACCGAAAATTGAAGCTATCAAGAACGGTGAAGGCGCCGGCAAAATTATCTAGAACCTCCTTCAACTCGAATTCCTGCAGTTCGCAACTACTTGAGATCGCGCGACAACATAACAACCCCCAGTAGAAAAACAGACTGATGTACTCAGCTTCATTTTGGGAGAGCACATGTGGCTGCTTTCGTGCTGTCGGGCGAGGGCGACTTTCTATTGCCACACTTCGGGGTTGTCTATCCTCAGGCGTTATGTTGATTTTTTTGGGCACTTCGCCAGATCTCTGACTTTGCTGATAATGGGATATGCACCACATCACAGTCTTCAGGCCGCGAATCAACATCTGGATGAGTGGTTTCACATCAGCCATAGATTCTATTTTTGCAGGTAGGACGACGCTACTGCAACCAAGATAAAGATTTTGGTGCCTTGATCCAGGCTTATCTGTGGAGCCCTCCACTGTTTTATGACGACCAGGCCGACAATTTGAATCGCAACAGGTATCCAGCGAGCTATTGTCGCAACCGATCTTATGAATGAGAAAGCGCAAAGTGTCAAATTTAGACACCAATGTTTGAAGAATATGGACGAGCAGGCGTTGCCCTTTGCTAATATCTGCATCTCTGTTGTGAAAAACAAAATCAACTAGATTGAGTAGTAATCGAACAGATGTCGTCTGCACATTCAAGGGGAGTCGCGGGTCATGCAAATTTCTCGAGAATAGCAACACCACGCGAGACAGTTGGGAAAGGTTTAGTTCTGCACGAACATGATGAACTAAGTCTGCAAGTGTTGAAAATGCAAGGGGGCGTAGGGCATCACGACTGGGCCGGCCAAGCCCGATGAGCACCTTTTCATCGAGAAGAGTGTCAACGTGACGGTAGAACCCTCGACGAAATTCAGTAGCGAGTATGTGTCGAGTTGCCACAAGCAATTCCTTTCGAGTTGCAACTGCGTCTCCGGGACATGCAATCATCAGCGCGATCACGGCCTTGGAGATTGCTTCTTCGTATGGTTTCATCAATTCTGAAAATCCACGCAGCAGATAAGTTAAAAATGACAAAGTCTTGACTTGACATGCGACAAATTCTCGGTATCGCTCGCGCTGTAATTTATAAGCAGCCAAGGGTGCGCGCAGGGCAAGACCGCCCATCATCAAAGGTGTCAGTAGTGGAATATTGTCTTGAATGTACTTCGGGTAAAGTTGAAACAGCAACATCACAATCAATGGACATTCTGTCAATACCTTGAAAGAGTCCAAACCTTGAAGTACAGACTGTATTGTGGATGTGCGTGCTGAACCTGTTGATACGATCCCCTCCGGCATAAGTCCCGGTGAAGAGGCGAGCTTCGAACTAGGAATGCGCAACGTGGGATTCAAATAGGCATCACAGGCCATGACAGGAGTTTGTCGATGCAGCACTGATGTTCCGGGCAGTTGATTTGAAATTGAAATGACTTCGGAAGTTATACCTAAAGGGCTTGGATGAGGACATGAGTAGGCGATTTGGATACGTCGTGAAGTACTTTTCGGTTTTGAAAGGTGAGCTGGTTGCAGTGAAAAAGCGAATGCCTTATTTATCGATGTTGGTAGAAGCCGATAAATTCGTTGCACGAGGTCAAGGAAAGATTGGACTTCGCCTTCAAGAGCAGGGCGAAAGTTCTTGTGAAGATCAAAAATTATACGTAGGCACGTAAGTGCATTTTCTTCACTATCACGCGACAATGTTTCTGTAGCCACCCGCAATAATTCTGGTGCGTAAGGTCTCAGCACCTCATTGTTTGGCAGCCTATTCAAAATTTCGAGGATGACGTGGCGAAACCGCGTTCCTGTTTCATCGGCACGTGCCGACGTAGCAGAGGAGCTGTGCAAGAGGACGTTTCGGAAAGCAGGAAACAGGTAGCGCAAGAAGTTGGCGTATTCAGATGTGTGGACGATTTCCTATGAAGAAATAATATGTTTAAAAAGGCGATAACCATGTTACTCACAATTCGTTCACGGATGTCTGTGGCGCATCGAAGGGCATCCGCAATATTTGTTGCGATAAGTCGTCGCGCGGTTTGCTCGAAATTGAGCTTGTGATTAGAATGAGCGCGAGGGGGGGCTGCGTCGCCTCTGCCTCGGACTAAGTTCATCTTACTATGATCTCGACCCCACCTAGAGACGACCTCCTCCGCTCATCTCGCAAGATGCTGAGCGGAGCCGGGCTATGTCGTGGGCCGGCGAGGCGATCCGGGGACCGACACGGACTCAAGTGTACGGCCTCAACTGCACCGCCGCACCCCGCCGCGCCGAGAAACTCCCACGCTCCCACGCCACCGGACGACCGGGGGACCCGAGCCAGCGGGACACGCCTAGGCGGTGTTGGGGCGCGCCCAGGACGCCGCCCAGGGCGCTGCCTGGGGCGCCCGGCGCAGCCCCGGGACGCCGCTCGGGACGCCAGGGTGCCACCTGCCAGTGGGACCACCAACTCGCCGTGCACAAACCTGGCCCCAGTAAGGTTGGCTTTCTTGGCAGCAGAATGCACGGGGGCATGGTGGTATCGGCCTCATGAGGCTCCCAAAACGTCGGCTGTGAGCACAGGAGCACAGGCTCTCTCTAGCTCTAGAGGATATGTTTCCTGAGTAACCTGCGGAAAGCCGCTGATCTGCACAGTAATTGATGAGGCCCTATTTTGCATGCAATTTGAAAGTGTCCTGTCGTCCGCCACGCAATGGCAAGCCACCTTCTGTTCTCGACGCCTGTTGCTTGCTTTTCAACCGAGAATTCTCCTCTTTTAATTTCAAATTTTCAAGCAGCATTGCCCCAGATGTCATCGCACGACGCCCACCACGCATTGGAAGTGATAATGGCGAGTGGTTAAATTTGTCACAACAATCTAAGCTAAGGGAATCGGAATTCCTCCGGTCAGACTGCCGAGCTGCTTTGAAGTTGTCGTGCAGGAGGAGGGTGTACTCACACAACATATCACGATAAAGATCTTGATGTCTCCTTAGTTCTCCGAGCAAAAGCTGCCTTTCGACCTGAAAGCTTTGCGCTTGGTCTGTGCAGGTATTTCTAAGATGGTTGATGTCCTGGTGAACTGTCTCGAGGTCGTCTTTGCTACTGTGTCTTGTTGTCGCAATTGACTTGTGTCGCTAGGGTTGGGCATCCTCCCCAATAGTATATAAATTTTGGAAGTATCCACGCACCTGTATACTATCGAATATCTCTTCGATTTGCAGGCTTGTGTGCTGTTGCTGGCGCATAAGTTGCTCCCGAAGAGCCTTGCTTTCTTGATCAACTCGTGAGTAGCTGTCTGTCAGATCGGCCACTTTGCGTTCTGTCTGCGTCACCCGAGCGTGCTCGCCCCCAATAAGCTGGACCACCTGGTGCAGGCACATAAACCAAGCCCCCTTGATTTACCGGACGAGTGAATCACCTGCTCAGCAAGAGACTGCAGGCGCGTGTCAACCTCAGTGAAGTGATCGATTGCGTTGGCATTGTTCCTGCTGCTGAGCTTTTCCGCGATGTTACTTATAGCTTCGTCTAGGCTTCGCAGCTGATTGAGGAGTCCATCCAACTGCATCTGCTGCTCTTGGACTTTCAACATGGTTCGAGATCCTTGCTCTGTGCATGGCTACTTGATTCCCTTCAGTATAAGCGAGCAAGTACTTACCTGAGATTCTATGCAAATCAAATTCTCTGAGAGTTGACTGTTCGGTCTTCGAGGATTCGATATTCAATGTTTGATCATT